GGGAGTCCATCATCAGAGATAAAATCGTCAGTGAAAAACATGACTGAGTCATATGGACGGAGTCCCTTGCCGTCATAGGGACGGAGTGGAAGGAAGAGGACAAATTAAGCACCAGTGTCGTGAGCCTGGAGATACCTGCGGAGGGCAAAATATGCGGGCGCCAGCTCGATTCATCGGTTATCCCTGTTGTCATCCGACGCTCAGGCTTCAATCAGTTCTCGCGCTGGCTTGCTGCCGGCGTGGGAAATTATCCTCGCAGCTGCGAAGTTGAACTCGTAACCTCTCTCATCGGTGTGGGCCGCCACCTGCGATTATGCGTCACCCCTTCGTACATCCAGCTCATGTTGGCGTATCCGCGAACTCAGCATGCGTCCAGACTGTCCTGTGTAATTTCGGGGTGCAGTTTAGACATGTTATGCGATCCAATACGTCCCCCCCCTCCGTCCCTATGACAGTTAATTGACCCCTTCCCCTTATAAAGGTTGCTTGTTTTTCGTTGACGATTTTATCTCTAACGATGGACTCCCGCAAGATCTCGAAAGCTCAGACTATGAAAACTATGTATCCAACCCTACTGCCGATGCGCGCCTTATCGTACTACGCAAACGCGAGCTACACGCGTGCTTGATTATCGTTGTTTTGGATAATTACGTAATCGATAGATTATTGGCTTATCGATTTTTGCATGCTCTCGCGCGCGGTGGACGCCATTGTGACGTGGCGCAATCTGCTGATAAGATGCCCAAGCGAGCTCTCGTTACTGTGACTGTAAATCCGATAAACCTGCTGTTTTTTTGCTGTTTTTTTCAGCCTGGGGTAGCCCCATCAAAGAAAGCAATACGACAGCGTGCTTTACGTGGTTATCTTGAAGATTATTTTTAGGTGATCGACACAAGGCTTCTTCATCTCAATCTAAACTTAATTCGCCTTGCGTTTCGGACTCTCTCTCGCGGTCACCATCAAAGACGGTCACAGCTTAGAGTGCTGAAAGCAACAGCGCTGCAGTATTTATAGGACGCAGTTGGCATGCCGAGTCACGTGTCTAATCCAATAAGGGAGCTTCCGCATTCATCGGTTGTGGTCGTACACGACGTGATGATGGCTCGTAAGGCCGCGTCCGAGTCGTTAATTACCGAAATGTCATAGTACCGTTCCCGCTCCTCTCTCGCGTGATGGTGGTGAGATGTGTGGCTGGCTGCCAGCGAAACGTTTCGCCGCCGCCCACGCTTCCTCCCCCTGCTGCGTGGCTAACTACCCTGTCTAGTCAGAAGGAGAGGGCGTTCAGCGGGCGAGGTTTATTAGTGATCATATGTTTCGGATAGTTATCTCGTCT